CCAGGCTGCAACATAACTTCTGGGCTGCTGCTTCTGTTCGGAGATCACCTCCGCGAGTCTGGCGTAGAAACATCTTGCACTTGGTCCCATCCCACCCGAGGTTGTGAACACTAGAGGAGTGAAGCTGCCTTGATCAACGTTTTGAATTCTCTCCCCATATATAGCCCTTCTCTTGTCGTTCTCGTTCCTCCTATGTGCAGCATCGAGAGCTAGGTTACGGTGACATGCGGCCATGGGATAAAAAATCCTGATGTCGAAGAAAGCTCGCTGTCCCCGTGTCCAGAATCCTCGAGCACTGACGTCCACACGGGCTTCGTTAGATGTGTTTGAAGTCCTGTGTTGGAAGATCTCACCATCCAATGGAAGGAGGGTCGGTTCTACCATGACATCCCGGCAGATTTCCTTCAACATATTTGCTGTGAGGTCCCTTACCTCGTCATGCCTCATGCGTGATCGCCATCATAGGAAGAGCCACACACGCATTGGGAGGGCAAACCTTCTACTGGCCGACCGTACCTTAGAGCAATGGCATCTGCAAATTCTTGTTTATTATGACTGAAACCATTTGCCCTTATCGGTAACGTAGTTAACCAGTTCGAGGCGCCCACCTCCTGCGCTATAGCTACTTTTTTTTCAAATTTTCTGGTACCTGCAGCAACAGTTGCTGTAACTTATCATTTTGGCAGTGCTGTCGATCTGTCGTAATGGACCTACGAATCTTATTTACTTCACTGGTATCCACTTCCCCTGTTGCATTCTGGGCTATTATGTGGTCCGTGAGGGCTGCCGTGAGCTACTACTACTACTACTACTACTACTACTAATAATAATATTAATAATAATATATTTATGTATTTATTCTTATTATTATTACTGTTACGTTATTACTATTTTTATTATTATTATTAGTAGTAGTAGTAGTAGCAGTAATAGTGGTAGAAGTAGTAGTATCATTTATATTATTATTATTATTATTATTATTATTATTATTATAGTTATTATTATTATTATTATTATTATTATTATTATTATTACCATTATTATTATTATTACTATTATTATTACGCCTCTTGTTAGTTAATAAAATAATAAATGACCTTGACATTTCTGATATTAATTGTATTTCATGCCAGTTACAATAGAGTCAAATTCCTAATTAAAAAAGAATATTAACATTAGAGTCAAACAGTAAAGAGTCGAAGAACTTTCCTGTATAAATTAATTAACAGTCAGTACTAAATCCTCCTCCTGTCAAGTTTACTTTAAAAAGTCATTAGGTAATATTCTTAACGGGTCTTTATTATTATTATGGAGAGTTTGTCTGTTTGTTTTGATATTTACAAGAACAGTATGAAAAAAAATAGATAAATAAATACTAAAGTCTATAATTAATAAAGAAGGAATTTTTTAACTTGAATTTGCGATGAAGAAATTCCTAAATAAATCCGGATTTCGGTATTAAAAACGAGACGAACAGAATGTGCTTGTGAGCTGCTGATGTTGATGTATTTATACCCGACTCACTACGGGGTAGCTTTTGATAATAAATATTCATGGCTCTTCCTGTCAAAGCACATAGTATTCGGCGTGTGTGTGTGTCATGTAACGTTTACTCGCCTGGCAGGGTGGGTGTGTCAGAGTCACAGCTCAAGGATGTGTTGATGTTATAATTATGTATTACTCCGCTTCAACAACAATAATGTATTATTCTGCTTCAACAACTAAGTACCTACTCATGATTAATATTTATATAAGAACTTTATATAACAGTAATATGATTTAAGATTAGGCCGAGGCTAATTGTGTAGACAAAATCTCGTGACGCTTATGACACTAAAATAGGGCGTGTAATTAAATCTGACGAGACCTCCGCAAAACTACAGGAAGATTTAAACATTTTTCGAATGGTCTGAAAAGTGGCAGATGAAATTCAATGTGACATATGTAAAGTACTTAGTCTAGGTCCTAGACTCTAGGAGATGTAAACTGTATTAAACAGAGAAACTAGATACCAGATGAACAACGATGTTATAGAGAAATCCGACTGTGAGAAAGATTCGGGAGTAATGATAAGTAAGAATCTTAAGCCAAGTAAACAATGCGTATTTGCTTGAAACAAGGCTAATTAAGTACTTGGGTTCATAAAAAGGAGTGTTAGTTACAAGACTAGAGAGGTTATCCTAAAACTATATCTTGCGCTCGTGAGACCTCACCTGGATTACGCAGTTCAATTCTGGCCACTGTATTACAGAATGGATATAGAATCCTTAGAAAGAATTCAGAGGAGATGGACAATACTAATCCCGGGCATTAGGAACCTTGAGTACAGAAACAGGTTATAGCATCTTAATTTGCACTCCCTCGAGAGACGTAGAGTGAGGGGCGACCTGATAGAGGTGTATAAATGGAAGTCAGGGCTAAACAAAGGGGACATTACAAAGGTACTCAAACTATCCAACTAGGAGCGAACTCGTAACAATGTTTTAAAATTGAAAATTTTAGATTTAGCCGCGAAATAGGTATACATTGGTTTGGAAATAGAGTAGTGGATGAATGGAACAAGATACCAAACATCATCATTAACTCGAATACGCTTGATAGTTTCAAACATAGGTGGATGGATATATTATGAGCAATAGGGGTTGGGTGTAAACGGAACTGCCCAGTCTGGGCCAATAGGCCCGCTGCAGTGTCCTCCATTCTTATGTTCTTAACCCAAATTGACCTAACTTGACCTGACTTAACCTAACCTCGAACCAGAGATAACGTGGCGAAGTTTGTCCGTACGCTTATTTTTTTTAATGGAAATTCTTCGCAGGTACAATAAAATGCAATATGATTATGAACTCTGAGGATTACACAAAAATGTAAGACTAAACCACACACACACACATTTTTTTTTAGTTTAAAAAAAATATTGACAAAGCTTGGAGTACAGTTTGCCTATTCTGAGTAATTCAGTCAGGTCTTGACACTGAGGTTGGTATCACTACTCACTGCCACGCAGGACAGAGGTTCATACACAAAGAACTACACCGTATTCATTAACAGTATATACAGGTCAGATTCATGTGGGCGATGTCACTGTTCACTGCCATGCAGGACAGAGGTTCGTACACAAAGAAATACATCATATTCATTAGCAGTATATATAAGTCAGAGTCATGTGGGTGATGTCACTGTTCGCTGCCATGCAAGATAGTGGTTCATATACATTGGACGTCATATTCTAAGTGAAGACTAATCAGTGTGGGTTAGCAAATTTGGGATAAACAGCAAGAATGTCCTCATGCACCCCCCGATTTAATGTAGTACATACAAAGTTCATGATACAATAAGCCAGGTGACCTAAAGTCTTTGACAGTGTCGCACACACAGACAAGAAGTAATCAACAGCTTATCACAATGTGCTTCAGGCAGGACCACTTAGTACAGCCGAAGACTTGGGGGGTGAATTACTGAACCGCGGGAGGTGTGTGTGGGGGAGGTGGCGATGGCAGACGCTAAGGTGATGGTGATTATAATTTTATTTTATTTTATATCTTTAAATACTTTGGTGGATAGGCTGCTAATCCTGAGCGTGGAGAGACGAACAGTTCATCTCTTAAAAGGCGTAGATGTCAGGGCTTTTATACGTGAGGTGTGCGTGCGTGTGTGATATTTTTTTCTTCTTTAGAATTATGTCTTCATCTACAATTATAAACGTACTAGTACCGTTTCCAGTTTAATGATTGGTGTCATCCGTTTGTAGAGTAATAACAATTCATTACATCAATCCTCTTTTCCAATATTACCAAAATTCCACAAAACGGTTCACTCTGTAATCACATACCACTGAAACGACAATATTGCTTCACACGCAACATACTGTAGTATAGAGTCATTTCGAAATATTGCACAAGCTGCTACTTAGACAACAATACTAAAGTAGTTATACATGTAACTAACAAAACTAATTTCCACTTTAAATATATGCATAGACATATATATATATATATAATTTATAAAATCTAATGGCTTCATAATACGTTGAAAGATTAAGTTAATAAGCAGCAAGAGCATTTTCTTATTCTAGTTGATGCTTCATATTGAACGAGGGGCAATGCCGTTGCCAGATGTACGATTATTATCACACATGTACGAACCAAATATTCACTGTACAAATGCATCAATGAAATTTATACTATATAAGAATACAACTATTAAAGCACTAATGTTATAAGAGCGGAAGAGAGTATTCGCACCTGTATATGGTATTGGATGCACAATACCGCGGAGGAAAAAGATGTGACTTTTCTCCCTGGGTAAGTGCTAATCACAGGTGTACAGTAGTAGAACAGGTGCCTTTTATTTTGTTAAAATACACCGTTGCAGCAAGGTAACATATAAGCTGGGAATATGTTGTTTGGCAGACTGTAATAGAGAGCGAGTATTGCTAATCCTGCCACACGATAATTATCAACTGAAGGTTATCTTCTAAACTTTTAGAAAATCATCCATCAATGAATTATATATATTTACTTAAGTGTTTTTATGTTATTTTTGATCATCTGGTAAACTTTCGAGCATCGACGTTTTGTTACACACACACACACACATATATATATATATATATATATATATATATATATATATATATATATATATATATATATATATATATATATATATATATATATATAAAAGACAAGACATTCCTAATCAGTGAGATCACAGAAGCTGCAGGTAAGACTTTAGCAGAATACGTCAATTCAGATTCTACTGTACGATAGTTTTTCCCAAAAGACAGTGCGCAGAAGAAAGTAGTCCCCTCTTGAATATATGTTTTCTCAGTGTAGCGAACACATTTATGCCTGGCTTATAGAAAATTTATTATTAATTAAGTTTAAAAAAATATACATTATGTTATATATGATGGAAAAATATACTAGTGAAATGTGAAGAGCAACGCAAGCGTATCGTCTGTCACTGCCGGACTTTCATATAATGGCGGCTCGTAGTCCTCCCCACTTCAGTCTCCTGTGAGCGATGGCTGTGAGGGCACATTCATTCGTCTCGAGAGAGTGTTAATTCTCTATGGGTAATTTCTGAACAATTCGTCTACGAAGATCAGTAAGGAACAAGTGTGAATAAGTGACTCCACATTACAAGATACACCAGTTAACGGAGATAAAGTGTTAAATCGCCAAAGGAAAAATAAGTGCTTGAGCATTTACTAAAATTCAAGATTGTTTCCTCATTTGTGGCGGGAATTACTAGTGACTATATGAAGTGCTGAAGGTAAACATCTTTATCATCATAGTTTTTGTTTGTACTGAAGGTTAGGGGGCAAATAGTTATCCCTTTTCCGGGTTAGGATTTAGTTTCGGTATTTTAGGGAAATCTTGTATTTTTATTTATTACATGAACACACTGGCTATTAAACACTCAATATGATGGGATAAAACCATCATATTTGAAACATTTTAGTAAGCAGTTGTGTTCTTGTAGCCTGTTAATAATTGTGATGACGTTAGAAGGTGAGTTAAGGTGTTAACTGAAATATCCCCAAATCGGTTACATCTTGCATTATAGTTTTGGAGAATTAAATATAAATATATTAAGTTTATGGACAAGTATTTTGAAAGCTCTGACCACGTTGTTGAAATCGGGTAGTCGTGAAATACTTGACAAGGTCATGTGCTATTTGTGGCACCAATGTCTTCAAACTACTTACAGTATCCAGAGGAGACTGGCTGAGCTCTTTATACAGAGCTGTTCATGTAGTGATTACACTGTTACATATGTAAACAAAATGTAGAAGGATGAAAGGAATGTGTGAAATTTATATTTGTGTTTCACAAGTCTGTAAGCCCATCCACGAGTGTCGCAAAGTTACTGAATGTTGTGAACGCCATGTGGGAACACTGGCGCATTATAATGATAAATATTGGCCTTTATAGGTTCTTCATATCTTTCAGTTGTATTGGGAATTTAAATCTGTTTTGTGTATCATAATATATTCATTGTGTAAACTGTGTTTAGGATGCAACATTTCAATGCAACGCCGTAAATACGACATTGAGTCAGTGACAGTTGACAAAATATATATATATTTAAAAAAAATTATTATATGTGATTATGTTATGAATAAGAGAGTTATAGTTTTCGTTTAAGAGCATTTCATATAAAACTATTAACAAACTAATATAATGTTTTGGCATTTTCTTCTTATAAAGGAAATTTAATACACTAGGTGGCAACTGGCTTTGTGTTGCCTAATGAATGAGCACATCTTTTGTATGAGGATGTATGATGATTCTTATTTGCAAAGAATTTCATTAAATTAATACTGTCATTCAAATCAATTCAGTGTACTAGTAAACGTGAATGGCTGTTGTAGAGTTGAGCCATTCCTGAATAATTTCCTAGTAATATGGAAGTAGTACTAACTTTAGCAGTAAGCTTTATTGAGCAAGCTACTTCTCTACTTTTGATCTATTTTTTATTCGTCTGGGATTCTGGTGTACCCCTTTGTTCAAAAATGTTGTAAAATGTTTGAAAGGTACATTATGGGCATCACCTAAACATTACGAGGGCGTATACGTAAATCAGTGTATTACCTAGGGAGTTTTTCGTACTTTTTAATGATCCACAAAAACAGCATTTTACATAGTAGTTGAAACTCGATAAACTGAGTTAGAAAATAAATACTGAGAAGTCGTCCTGTAGCCCCCGGGTGTCTCCTGCACATGACGCCGCCTTCTCTACCCACTTAATTTGCCTTATCCATGTAGTGCTATATTAAGGTGCGCCGAATCATCGTTACCAGGAACTTGTAGAATCCTTGGCGGTGGTAACGGTATTCGCTGACGTAGGGAGCATAGGTTAAATTATTTTGCCGGTGCAGACGAAAAACATATTTCCTGAAGAATATTTTACGGTGTCAGGGAATATAAGAGCATACTTCCTTATCAGATGCTTCTAGGTCCATGTTCTACAGCCATTGTAATAAAAAAAGTAAAATTGCAATTTTCTATGTTATACTGTTCAAAGGGAATCAAATAATAAATACTTGCGAATGTCTAATGTTGCGTTGTTGACACTTGTACAATAATTGTTGTACCATGGCGGACGTTGTAGTAGTGGTATTTTAAAAATGAAGATCTGATCAGGTTAAGCCAGCCGGAAAACTATACTAACATTGTGTTTTTCTCATTTACAGGTGCAGCTGCAAGAGCGTCTTGAGTTGTAGTGCGACACAAGTGTAGTGTAGTGTTGAGTGTTAGTGTACAGTGATCAGTGATGATGAGTGAAGTACAGGAATATGCGCGTCAAGGACCCCGTTTGCCGCTGTTGCTCGCTAGACACAAGGCGCTGCCCGACCTCTGTCCTGCGGCCGAGACTAACACCGCCCACACCGCGCACAAGGAGGAGGTGGGGCCGCCCGTGCCACCCGTGGTAGTACGGGGCGGATCAGGCACCACCTCAGGAGGGGCATTGTCACCCACGGCCGCCCCAGGGGCGGCGCCCACCTTCCCCGCAGTGCCCACACTGGTGGGGGGCAAGTACCTGCTTACACGCCCTCTCGATCACTCCGCCTGTCATGCCACAAACATTCACACTCACCAGAGCCTACTTGTCAAGGTGAGACTTCAGCACTCATTGTTGTAGCCGCCCATCACATTTATGTCTCATAAGCTGCACACCTTTTGTCTGTCAGGTTACCCCAGACCATGTATGTGTTTTCAGGTATGGCGTACTGGCCCTCCACACGTGATGACCCAAGTTTTACTCATGTGACCATGTCTCGCCTAACTCAGTGGTGGGAGAGACATTTAAACATGTGATGGTGGATTAACCGAGTTACAAAAACCCCAGTGATGTAAACTTATATTGTTCTGAATAAATGTGTATCTGGTCTAAACAAATATTCATTTTGACTTAACATTTCAGGTGTTGGTAACAGTTAATAATACAATAGACGTCCTGGGATTCTAACAAAGTGGATATTGTCTAACGTTACTTAGAACTGTGTTGTACTGCGGTTGCCTTAATCACCAGTTTTACCGTATACTGAATTTTCTTTGCAATATTTTTTTCGCGACATTTAGTGTCAAACATTCAACCTTATCAACTATAAGAAGTTATATCTCGCCTTTATATTACGGTACCAACACCACAGTTAACCCTCAGGTACAGTACATAGACTGAATTGTACGGTGAACTCTAACCTAACTCAGTATTAGGACTTGAAGGTACTTAAACTGGATGGATCATGTCCCAGCATTAATTCGATGGTAAAGGTTTATACTGTGGGATATTGTGTGCACGGGGTGGGATCATCGTTGCAGAAGTGCACTCGCTAACGTCTCCCACGTTGTTGTTTTTCATAGTTTTACTCTCCGTAACGGTGTGTTGCTTCATGCGATGGGGGTGATAACGATAAAAAGTAGATAACACGGGCTAGCTGTGCTCCGGTGTCGAGACTCTGGCTACCGCCATGGTCAGGACCGCCGGTGCGGGAACATGGTTAGGAGCAACCAGTTTTAACCACTAAACTGAACTGGTAAATACCAGTTAAAAACGACTTTGGCCCTTACAGTATACCTTTTTGTGTAGAACTGAAGCGGTATTCTGACACATACGACCATAAAATCCTTGAAAATGTAAATGCTTAGATAATGTACCGGATAGAATTTATGAAGAATGTTTATAAAACGTGGGGAAGTAGTTTTTGAGTTATAAAGCAAAAGACCCTTTAATAAACTATGTCCACTAAAAGCATTGTCAGTTTAGCTCATTTAAGGTGACAATCAGCATTATAAGGGAATGTTGCGTCTCATGCTGACACTGTTGATAGCCTTGCTCCCCTTTTGATTTTTTAAGGTCTGTCATCCTGCCTGGGCCCTAAGCTTACATCCACATGGTCTCGATGGGGTAAACAATGTGAAGGTGCTGAGGGCTCCTGCCTCCCCTTCACTATTGACCTCCAGTAACCAAGTTCACTGACACGCTGTCGACATGAATGGTTTGTGCTAAGGTTGGCCACCAAAGTGGGGGGGAGGTTAGTAAGTTCTAGTTGCTAAGGCCTCTGACCCGCCATCTAGAAGTTTCATCATGGCGATAACGATAAGGAGGCCAACAAGTGATAGCCGGGTTATCACGTGGCCAGAGAACAGGAGGAGGGTAATGAAAGTATGGGGGGGGGGGGTGATTACAAGCACTAGGGAGGTGTTGTGGAAGTGGGAAGGCCCCGGGGGAATTTTAATCCCTCAGCCAATGAGCGTCGTTCTTATGGCCAGCACCTGACGGCTATTGGCTGTTAAGCCTAGCCCACCGTACGCAGGCTTGCCCCTTCTTCATCTCACTGTTATGCTAGTGGCGCAGGGACCAAAACTCCCTCCAATTTAAATATCAAGTCCTGATACTCTGTTAGAGAAAAAAGTTTTCAAGTGAAATTTGTTTAAAGTTACACGATGTGTCGGTAATATATGCATTATTAAAATAAAATCATTGGCATGTAACTTAAACATGCCAGTGGTGAGGTTTCAGGTAATTGCCAGCTGATAGTGTTGATGCAGGCGTGCCTCTGCCTGAACACTGCTGGACACTCACCTCCATGAACATACTGTACATCCCGTCACATTGTCCTCACATTTAGTTCTGGATAATCGTCCATGAAACTTGACATCATCACTACCGCGTTGTTAGTGGCACAGCAGACCATCTTCACTCGTCGCCATCACTTTCGACACAGTACTCAACATTTAAGATTTATTACTTAGTCATCACTTATCCACTTTACAAATTTCAGCAAAGACTTGTTGTTCGTGATTAAGGTGTTGTTTCGGGGGTTCAGTACAACCACGGTGCTGTTTGTACACGAAAGCAGTATGGTGCGAACTTTAAATCCCTGAAGCGACCCCTTAACATAAGAAACAAGAAAATAAGGAGTCTGCAATATGCCGGTTGGCCTGTGCATGGCAGCTCCTGTCGAGAGTTACTACCACTCTATCATCCATGAATCTATCTAGCCTCCTTTTGAAACTTTCCAGCGTTCCAGCACTTACTACTAAGTTGCTAAGCTTGTTCCACTCGTCCACCACCCTATTTGTGAACCAGTTCCTTCCCATCTCCATCCTAAACCTACTTAAATCCGTTGCTACGAGTCCTATCCTGCTCTGATATAAGAACTATAAGAACACCCGTGGAGTATTGTACACTGCTTTCTTCAGACAGGATTTTAAAATTAATTTGATTTTAGTTTGATCATCCTGGTGCTTCATTAATAGTTTTCAGAATTATGACGAGAGGGAGATGTAGTTTAACACTTTCTAGTGGAATACACTGATCCAGGTGTGTGTGCAGGTGTGTTATGAGTGTTACCAGGTGCGGCCCCGCATGCGTCACTTACTCACCAGGTGTTTTCTTTGTTTGCAGACTCTGGAGGGTCGAGCAGCACACGACCTTGTGGCGCACCATGCACTCATGGGCGGGTGTGAGGGCGTGCGCTCACCGCTAGAGATGGTGGTGTCTGCGTGCAGGCGGAGGGCGTGGGTGGTGTTCCCCGCCCATTGTGGTGACCTACACTCATATGTTCGGGTACGGCGGCGGCTGCGGGAGGTGGAGGCTCAGAGGCTGTTCACCAAGGTTGCCGAGACAGTGGCCGCTTGTCACGAGGCTGGCCTCGTGCTCAGGGACTTAAAGTTACGCAAATTTGTCTTCACAGACCCAGACAGGTGAGTTGCTTTCTTTATCTGTGCTACCTGCCAGTGTTAGCAGGTGTGGAGGACCCTTGTGGTTGGCTGGACGGACACCCGCCGCTGGTCACCAAGGTCGCCGCAGAAATGATGACTTATGTAAGGTGAGGTAGGCAAGGAGGAACCGGTGGTCAGGTGCTGGCTAGATGTGACCACAGCTGTCATGACCCTTGGTAGGCCTGGGATGGAGGGTCACAGGTGTGGCGCCACGTAGTCCTCCCCAGCCAGGGCCTCTACACCACCACCATTACCACATTCTTCGCTCACCATCACTGGTCACATAAATAATCTCCAGGGTGGGGTTACAGCAGCGTTGATTCCTTGTGTTCCTTGACCACCGTCGCTACCTCACTGAAGAATGCGCTTGTTTCTTTCTCACGGGTTGGGGATGAATATTTACCCCCCAAAATTCTTTATTATAAATTTCTGTGTACTGGGTATATGTATGTGAGTGTACGACGCTATCATTCTCGGTTATTTATTTCTTGGGTGTCTGCGCATAAGTATTGGTGTGACCGTACAAGGACAATGGGTCCTCTCCCTGGCCTGGTCCTCGTCTGGCCTGCTGCTCGTCGACCTTAACACCACCACCTACGCGCCCCTCTAAAATATCCCCACGGGCTGAAAATAGCAGACTGACCGAAAATGGCCGTCCTTCCAGTTCCACCCCTCTTCTCCTTCACCCACCTGCTTGAGGTGTGTGGTAAAAATCACGCGGGTGGTGGATAAATTGATACGGTGGGGATCGACCGTTACAGTGAGCGGTTGATGTTTATATAATGTTTCATTTTACGTTTAAAAAAAGAAACTACGATGTCTCATAGTTAAATTGTATTTATATTAAAAAAAAAGATAAAAAAGTAAAACCGCTGCTGCAGTAACCAGCGTATCACTCCCTGTACCACGCTTAAATAAACAAACCGGAAGGGGAGCGAGAACATTACACTATCTACACTGGACAGTTTGTTGTCGTTTGTGTTTAAGTTAGAATCTCATTTCCTTTCATAACATAAAAATCATTGTTTTTATTTTCTTTAGTCGGATAGTTGTTAGATAATCCCCCAAAACAGAAAACAGTCGTAAACAAGAAAAAACGGGTGGGTAGCCGAGTAGCGGACTCGACTGGACGGTTGAGTGAGGGGAGTGAGCGTGAGTCGATATTGTAGCAGCTGTGCCTCGGGGGGTTCAGTGGGGTTTCTTTCTTTTTCAAGTGTTATGGGGGGGGGGGGTGCATGGTGCTCTTCGGTAAGCTTGTTGCCTTACAATTTTAAACATGCTACCCTCCCCCTCCCTCCTTCCTCTCCCCCCTTTTTACTCGCCCCCCCTCCCCCAAGGCTTTGTTTACCGGCCACTCCTGACAGCTTGGTTTACGGACTACTCTGACAGCTTGGTTTACTGGCCACTCCTGATAGCTTGGTTTACCGGTCACTCCTAGCAGCTTTTTTTACTGACCACTCTAAGCTTGGTTTACTGACCACTCTTGACAGCTTGATTTACTAAATTCCACCCTTAGTTTTTGCCTTCACTGTGCTACCCCTCAACACAACCTCGGTAAACCCAGGACCGCTGAGGGTAGCCTGGATATTGAGTGTATGTTGTTAGGAATTTGAGGACAATCCGAACCCAAATCCTTACTCCAAACCTAACACACCCCACCTTAATCCTAATTCTACTTAACCTAACCTAACCAAGTCTAAGCTAATCTAACTCAAGCTGTTGGTGTTTTGTCACGTGTGAAGTTACCGGGTATGATCTTATTCACCTACTGTTTTGAAGGTAACATAATAAACACTTAGGGTGAAAGGTCGACAACCTGGGGATTTGGGGTGGGTGGATGTGAGGGGCGGGAGGGGGTGACTGTGAGCCCAGGGTTGCGACATAGGCAGTAGGGTGTGTTGTGTGCCGGTGGCTGATCATCATGCTCCCTGCCTGACCGCTGCTGACCCTTCTCCACTCCCTAACTCCTCCTGCTGGCTTGGTCTGCCCCCCAGAAGAACTGGTTTAGCTACGCAACAACACCAGCGAGCAACAGTGACCTCCCAGTGAGTAGGGCGTTTAGAGGTCATCAGGGGAGCTAGGGTATAGAGTGGTCCTTCACCCATACTTTACACTCACAGTCTTGACCTCCAACATGGCTGAAGTGCACACAGGGGAGACCATTGAGCCTGAAGTTAAATTTTAAGGTTTTTTTTTATTGCTACAAATAACAGATAGGCCAGCCACACACAGCACTCGTGCCTGAAAAATAAATGACCAAGGGGGAGGAAATAATGAACAAAAATATATAGAATGGTTGACGGTATCCCACTACACCTACCATGCAATGAGATGTAAAATTCACAAAGGAAGAGCATGCCTGAACTCATAATTATTGGTTGTCCAGCAAGAATTTCACTCTGGTTTACATAATTTAAAAAAAACTCGAAATTCCAGACCAAGGACATTATTAGGAAAGAGGGAGGGGGAGGGTGGGTGGTCCCGTTCCCCCCCCTCCCTCCCCACCCAACATAAATATAGCAGTCATGATAAGAGCATTGGACCTTGCGCAATGGGTTGCCGGTGTGTGTGTTGTGCTGCCCCGTTTCTGCTGCTGGCTCACTCTTCAGCACCGGGCACTCGTTATTTTCCTGTTATTGTGAGCGTTTATTTACATTGTGGATGTTTATAAAGGTTGCGAGTGCAGTGTGTGTGCGTGTGTGTTTTAAGAGTAGCGTTGAATATGAACAGGACATAGTATATGTCTTGCTCATATACTTGCTCTGGTTCTATAACTGGTGGAATTTGCCCTTTTTGTTATGTTTATAGTGGAAGTTGTCTCTTAGAAATAGGTGTGAGTTTGACAGTACACGACTTGAATGGAAGTGTGTTGGTCAGTCGTGTTTTTACTTTATATTATTACATATTGCTGTTAATGTTGTCATGGGTATTTATAGATTATTCTCTATTTATAAATTAATCAAGTAATGACTTCAGTATTAAACTGATAAGCATTCGCACAAAACTTGATTAGTTTGATTTGTACCCGCGCACAACACGAGCAATTTGTGTTTGTATATAACTTAAGCATGTTAATGTTGTGTTGGAATTATAATTGACACAGCAGATGTTGAAACAGGTGTTTCATCATGCTGGGTTATTTCAGGACCACCTAAAGGGATGACTAACCCCCTTCTCTGCAGGTGTGCTGAGGAGCACTTTCGACTGGTGTACATAAGCAAATACTTAGTCTTCTGGCTGCATTTACTTTACCTTTTCACGTATACAGCTTATCCAAAGCGACTTAAAGGTTATTGAAGATGGAGAAGATTAGAAACCGGGGAAATATTGACTTAAAAACAGAATCGGCTTCATGCCAGTTGGCGGGAGGAGGTGCTTCAGGACAGGCGGCCCAGGAATGTTGGAGCAGCCAGCTAGGTTACCCTCAGGCCCCTTCAGTTGAATGCTGCTGGAAGCTGATGGATGATGTTTTGCAAACTTGGAAGGGTAATGAACAACGAGCACCTGCACCACAAGTTGTGCTCTGTTTGATGACGTTATTTTTTTGTAATGAGATTAAAACAGGTTGGACTAGCCAGGGGGTCATCTGCTTACGCTGCTTTAATTGATGGCGGTCTTGTGCAAACTTTTAGGGAAGTGAGACGAGCACTTGCACCACTAGTCTATGATATTTTAGTTAAACACTTTTTTATGAGGGCTAAAAACATGTTTAGCTGCCTTAGAGGCCTTCTTAGGGATGTTGGGTTGAGAACTCAGTCTGATATTACTTCTGAGTTTTGAGTGAGGTATACACTACATGTAGAATAAGCTGGTGATACTGCCATGAGAGGAATATGTATTCAGAAACTCGGAATTCAAATCTTGATTATCGAATCTAGAACGTTTAATATTTTATTTTATTTACACATTAAAGTTTTAAGAATGCAGTATTTTTAAGGCACTGGCGTAATTGTTTTGGTTTGTTATTGACAGTTATCTACATCGTTTAGTAATTTACTGGGTATATTTTTAATGCTTCCACAGACATCCCCTCGGGCCCCCATGTTTACAACACTACTTCACACATTTGCCTTGTCCTTTATTATCTCGTTGCAGACAGCCATCCCCAGTTGCTTGCCAGGTGGTGGGTGTGTGTTGTAAGACGAAGATACACAATGTTTTTACGATTAATATCTGTACAAGGTGGTGCCTGGGCGTCGGTGGCCACATTCCAGTTTTAGGGCATAATCCTACTAATACAACAAGGTTTTATGTCGCTGAAAGACACCAATACAACTGTTGAGAGGCATCGAAAAACACCCACACAACAGTTTTATGGCATCGAAAAATATTTGAGTTAATGGGGATACTGTCCGTTAATGTTCTTTATTATATTCATTTTTGGGGAGTTTTATCGGAACACCGGCAGGACTGGAGCAGAGAGCCACACAATCAACTCACCAGCCAGGGGGTTTATCACGTGTCGCAACCATCATCACCTGCCACTGCCCACACACACTACTCGTTTATTTTTGTGTCAGTATCTCAGGAAGGGGGAGGAGGGAATCTACTCTCTCTGGGGGTAATTAACCTTATATGTAAAGTTCTTAACGGGGATGGAAGTTGTATATAATCCAGGGTTGGATTTTTGGGTGTAGTTTAAATGGGTCAATTTGTTTAATGTTGGTGCTACTTCCTTTTGCGTTATAATTTGGTTGCCTGGCGACCTTGGCTGTGTTTTTTTTTGTGGAGATAATGTTAACAAAAAACACCACACGAATCTGCGTTATCTACAGTATACCGACCGGCCTCTGCTTATCGTTGTGGCGGTGTTGCAATGCTTCCCGTGTGTGTGTGTGTGGTTCTTTGTCTTGTACGCATTTACATTTCAACACGTACACTGACACACACACACAAACACACCTTAAGGTATATCTCCCGCCACACACTTAAAGCACGTCAACATCATGACCGCTGGTGTACCGCTTCACCTTAGCCTCGTT